TTTTCATGCAGGTAGGTTTATGTGCCCTCCAGCAAAGGATCACCGCCTTGTCGGGGCGCTGGAGCTTGAGCACCTCAATGATGTCATGAGCGAAACCGTGAAGGGCCACCCAAGACGGGACGGTTGTGGCAGAGAGGTCAGACCAAGCGTGATCCCTGGGGAAGGCAATGGTAAACCACTCCAGTATTCTTGCCAAGAAAACTAAATGGATCAGTACAACCATAGATATGTCGGTATGCCATTGGAAGAGGGGACTTCCCAGGTCGGAAGATATTGTGGAGGAGCAGAGGATAAGTTCAACTAGCCCCAGATGTGATGACACAGCTAGCTCAAAGCCAAAAGGAAGGCTAGCGGCCGACGGTACTGGAGGTGAACGACGAATCCGATGCTCTAAAGATCAACACACCATAGGAACCTGGAATGTAAGATCTATGAGCCAGGGCAAATTGGATGTTGTTATTGGCGAGATGTCAAGACTAAAGATAGACATTCTGGGGGTCAGCGAACTGAAGTGGACTGGAATGGGCCACTTCACATCAGATGACCACCAGATCTACTACTGCGGACAAGAGGAACATCGAAGAAATGGAGTAGCCTTCATAATTAATAAGAAATTAGCTAAAGCGGTGCTTGGATACAACCCAAAAAATGACAGAATGATCTCAATTCGAGTGCAAGGAAAGCCTTTCAACATTACAGTGATCCAAATATATGCCCCAACCACAGCTGCTGAAGAAGCAGAAGTAGATCAGTTCTATGAGGATCTGCAGGAACTACTGGATAATACACCAAAAGAGACATTATTTTCATTACAGGAGACTGGAATGCCAAGGTGGGAAGTCAAATGACAACTGGGATCACAGGCAAGCATGGTCTGGGAGAACAAAATGAAGCGGGACGCAGGCTGATAGAATTTTGCCAGGAAAACGCGCTGTGTATAACGAATACTCTCTTCCAACAACCTAAAAGACGGCTTTACACATGGACCTCACCAGACGGTCAACACCGAAATCAGATTGACTACATCCTTTGCAGCCAAAGGTGGCGGACATCCATCCAGTCGGTGAAAACAAGACCTGGGGCTGACTGTAGCTCAGATCACGAAGTTCTTATTGCCCAATTTAGAATAAAACTAAAGAGAGCAGGGAAAATACACAGACCAGTTAGATATGATCTCACTAACATTCCTAGCGAATATACAGTGGAAGTGAAGAACAGATTTGAAGGACTAGATTTAGTAAACAGAGTCCCAGAAGAACTATGGACAGAAGTCCGCGACATTGTTCAGGAGGCGGCAACAAAGTACGTTCCAAAGAAAAAGAAAACCAAGAGGGCAAAATGGTT